GTTCTGATTGGATTATATGACAGCTACCAGAAGGCCCAATCACTGAGGAGGAATCTTGCAGCTGACGCCCTCAAAGCCTTCAAAGTGGAGGAAGGAGCCTCCTCAGTAAGTGTTTAAAAAAAAAAATCATTGATACAAAAAGTTTCATTATTGAAGAGATAAATTCTTTATCTTTAGGGTTTGATTTTGATTACCAGGTATTTGCTAACATCAAAAACTTTGTTTAAAAATTAAAAAACAAACAAACCCCAGAGAGGAATTTTTTTTATTTTCAAATAAGTATTTTGAGAGGTGTTAACTCCAAACAATCTGAAGATTTTGTTTTTATTTATTTACAGCAGAAGAACAGGTCAATGTCGATGTCTGCCTGTCAGCCTGAATCCCCCACACAACAAACACCACCCTCCATTAATTATCTCCACATACTGGAAAAATTGGTGGCTGAATCAGACAGCAAATCTGTCGTCTTCACTGAAGAAGTAAGTACCAAAAAATCACTGAAGAAGTAAGTACCAAAAAATCGCTGAAGAAGTAAGTACCAAAAAATCACTGAAGAAGTAAGAACCAAAAAATCACTGAAGAAGTAAGTACCAAAAAATCACTGAAGAAGTAAGTACCAAAAAATCACTGAAGAAGTAAGTACCAAAAAATCACTGAAGAAGTAAGAACCAAACAAATCACTGAAGAAGTAAGTACCAAACAAATCACTGAAGAAGTGAGTACCAAACAAATCACTGAAGAAGTGAGTACCAAACAAATCACTGAAGAAGTAAGTACCAAACAAATCACTGAAGAAGTAAGTACCAAACAATCACTGAAGAAGTAAGTACCAAACAAATTACTGAAGAAGTAAGTACCAAACAAATCACTGAAGAAGTAAGTACCAAACAAATCACTGAAGAAGTAAGAACCAAAAAAATCACTGAAGAAGTAAGAACCAAACAAATCACTGAAGAAGTAAGTACCAAAAAATCACTGAAGAAGTAAGAACCAAACAAATCACTGAAGAAGTAAGTACCAAACAAATCACTGAAGAAGTAAGTACCAAACAAATCACTGAAGAAGTAAGTACCAAACAAATCACTGAAGAGTAAGAACCAAACAAATCACTGAAGAAGTAAGTACCAAACAAATCACTGAAGAAGTGAGTACCAAACAAATCACTGAAAAAGTGAGTACCAAACAAATCACTGAAGAAGTGAGTACCAAACAAATCACTGAAGAAGTGAGTACCAAACAAATCACTGAAGAAGTAAGTACCAAACAAATCACTGAAGAAGTAAGTACCAAACAAATCACTGAAGAAGTAAGTACCAAACAATCACTGAAGAAGTAAGTACCAAACAATCACTGAAGAAGTAAGTACCAAACAATCACTGAAGAAGTAAGTACCAAACAATCACTGAAGAAGTAAGTACCAAACAAATCACTGAAGAAGTAAGTACCAAAAAATCACTGAAGAAGTAAGTACCAAACAAATCACTGAAGAAGTAAGTACCAAACAAATCACTGAAGAAGTAAGAACCAAACAAATCAGAGATTGAATCTTATACAGATTTAAAGAGGCTTGGTTATAAAGAAGCAAAAGTTGATGTCCATGCGACTTCCATATAACCAAGTATTACTAGATTCCATCATGGATAAATAACTAATATCTTGATTATTAAAATTCAGTTTTTGTGGAAATCAATCTTTGGTTTCGGTATTTTTAAGCTTATGTATTGATGTTTTCTGTTTTGATCCGCAGCCCTCGAGCTCTAACCTGGAACAGCTTCATGGCAAGGCTGCTTGTATGAGAGAGGATGACATCACCTGTAGAAACTGGCTAAGTATGTACATGTATGTTCTGAATTATATAATATCCTCAGATTTTGTGTACATGTAGAATTAGCAGTTCACCAAGATTAAAATCTTACTTATATTTTTCTGACCCTTATTTGTCTATCTTTTGCATGTTTATTCCAGTTAGCTCTGACATTTTCACCTTTCATAAACAAATGGATCTTATTGTTTCCTGAGAAATACAATAAAGAAATAGTGCAGATTGTAATATGCCTTTTAAAAAACAGCTTTCAATAACTTTTGTTTCTTCTAACTTGAAATAAAGCACCCTTAGGGTAAAGAATTCAGATTTGTTGATCACTGAGAGCAATGTGACTGGAGTGAGTGATGTGGCCTGTGTACTGTACATATTGTTTCTAGAACATATCTTTTTGCTAATTTTTCCAAATAGTTGAACTACACAACTGCCAGGTGGTTCTGAAAGGGGTGGAGACAGATGGTCATGTGATAGTCAGTGCTGCCAAAGCGGAGATAATGTCATACGAGTATCAACCGGTGTGGCAGAATCAACAGGTGCACAGTAAGACGGCCTGGGTCAGCTCCATTGAATGTATGCAGGTAACTCCAGATGTCAATTTATTAAAGCTGTGCATGTATTCTAGTTCAATTTGAAATGTTTAGTATGAGTCATAGATGAATGTCTTATTCCAGGGTTGTCCTAAGAATTGAAATAGCAGGAGAAATTAAAAAAGTAGAAGGGGGTCTTTGGTTCCTCCCCTGAACAGGGGATTGAGGGGGATACCAGAATAACCGGGGGATTATATCATTTCAGGCAGGGAAATTCCCCAGCTCCCGGGTCTTAGGGACAACTCTGTATTCATAATTGGCATTGTATGATTAGATTTCTATAACACTTACAGTAAAGTTCATCATTTTCATATACTGTAAATGAATTATATTTATTTGTACAATATTTGGTGGAAATTAATTTTTAGGTCACCTGAGTCACTCAGGTGACCTATTGCTATCCGTTTTTGTCCGTCGGCGTGCGTCGTGCGATGTGCGTTAACATTTGAACATTTTTAGCTTCTTCTCTGAAACCGCTCAACCAATTTCAACCAAATTTTGCATATAGCATCTATGGGTGAAGGGGAACAAAAATTGTGAATTTCATGGTCCCTGCCCCCCTGGGGCCTGAGGGGTGGGGCTAAAACCACCAAAATTAATGCAATCTTTAAAAATCTTCTTCTTTACTCCTGGACATCAAGCAGTCAAACTGTTGGCATGATTGTAATGAGCATTGAGTTCTCTACCAAAATTGTGAAATTCATAGCCCCAGGGTCAAGGGGTTCTTGCCCCAGGGTGGGGCTATATAGATCATATAGTGTAAGTGCATTATTTCTTTGAAAATCTTCTTCTCTGCTCCTGGGTATTAAATAAATTAACTAAGTACATAGTTATGAAGAGCAATAGTGCTTCTTCCAAGATTGTGAAATTCATGGCCCCAGGGTCAGGGGTTCTGGTGTTAGGGTGGGGCTCTATTGATTATATAGTGAAAATGCATTAATTCTTTGAAAATCTTCTTCTCTGCTCCTGGGTATTAAATAAACTAACTAAGTATATAGTTATGATGAGTAAGAGTGCCTCTTTCAAAATTGTGAAATCCATGGCCCCAGGGTCTGGGATTCTGGTGTTAGGGTGAGGCTCTATTGATTATATAGTGAAAATGCATTAATTCTTTGAAAATCTTCTTCTCTGCTCCTGGGTATTAAATAAACTAACTTGAAGAACATATGTATGATGAGAATGGCCGCCTTTTCAGAAATTGTGAATTTTATGGCTCCTGGGCCCGGGGTTCAGGTGTTAGGACCGGGCTCTATTGATTATATAGTAAAATTGCATAATTCTTTGAGAATCTTCTTCTATGCTCCTGGAAATTGATTGAACTAAGTACATAGTGATGATGAGCATGGTTGCCTCTTCCAAAATTATGAATTTCATGGCCCCTGGGTCAAGGGTTCTGGTGTTAGGGCAGGGCTCTATTGATTATATAGGGAAAATGCATAAATTCTTTCAAAATCTTCTTCTCTGCTCCTTGGTATTATCTAAACAAAGGAAGTGCATGGTTATGATAAGGAAGAATGTCTCTTCCAAATTGTGAAATTCATGGCCCCTGGGTCAGGGATTAGGTGAAGGAGCTCTTGAGCTCGAATGCCATGCTATTATATTAATAGGCGGTAAAATAACCACAATATTTAAATTCATTAAATCCTTGATATTTCTTTAATTGACTGAAAAAAGATGAATTTGATATCCAGCATGAACATGTTCGACGGTGTCCAGTCAATTCGAACCCTGCTCTATTCGGACCATGGCATAATGCCCCCAACTGTAAATTTGACATTTTGTTTAAAACTTAACATTTTTATTAGTCAATCATTTGACCTACTGCTATCTTTAAATTAAAAAAATTTAAAATGTTTTGAAATTGTTTTTCGTGTTCGATGCCATTGAGGCCTTTCAGGCTTTTGATTTTCTACTACTGGTTATAAAGCAAAGAAACAAGTGTATAGTTATGATGAGCAAGGGTGCTTCTTCCAGAATTGTGAGTTCATGGCCCCTAGGTCAGATGTTCTGGTGTAAGGATGGGGCTTTATTTACTTAATAATATAGTGAAAATGCATTTCCTTGAAAATCTTCTATGCTTCTGGGCAAACAGAGTAGAAGTTTTAATATGCAAAGGTATTTTTACCAGAATTTTGAACACCTGGACCATTGAGTCAAGTGTTCTGGTCCTGCCCAGCTCTCTATTAACTTGTATTCTGCTGAGCAAAGTTATTCCCCTTTGCCATTCACCTTCGATAATTAATCACAGTGACTGTAAACAATGTACTGTGGAATCATTTTAATTCGTGGGGGTCAATGTTCGTGGGCAAGCAAAATTGTACTTATTCGTTGGGACGTAATTTCGTGGGTTACCCGTTTATAAGGTAGATTCAATGAATCAGTGTGTTTACAAAATAAACATTCGTGGGGATGTAAATTCGTGGGTAGGGATGACCTACGAAATCCATGAACATTGGTCCCCCACGAACAATGATGATTCCACAGTATTTGAAAGGTTAATAGAATACGAGAATTATGCAAGAATATTTATTGTAAAATAAAAAATTACTTTCACAGTTTTAATGATCAGGTAGACTTGGAAATAATAAATGAATAAAATTGGGACAAAAATAACTTACCTTTTTAAATGTTCTTCAAAGGCCAAGAGAGGCCAATGTGAGAAGTTATAATATGGGGTTAAAAAATAGACATTTTGTAAAGTAGCCTGCATGGTAATGGTGATAAATGGGGGACAGATAGATACTAGACCAATTATTTTGTTGATGCTAATCATGTTATATTTCTTGCTTTTGGGCAACAAAGCTTCATTTATCAGTTTATGGATCCTCTAAATTGTTGTATTGTACTCAGGTGACCGTTAAGGCCCTTGGGCCTCTTATTGAATGTGCTATAAATATACATATTAAACATGACATTAAGTGATGTACTTGATTCAGGACACTAAAAATACACAGCCAAGTGTACTGGTAATGTGTTGCCAGTAATTTGCTAATAATTACATGTATTCTGAATTTTTTTTCAAAAAAATGAAAATTTCATCACTCATTGTAGACAAAAATGTTTAATTTGTTTGTGTTAGTATTATGCCACAGTTGACCCTGGCAGTGACCTTGAGGAGGACTGCTATCCCTGGCTGTCTCAGGAAAATGTGGAGGATCGAATGGAGGAGGATCTAAGTGGGCTGCCAGAGATGGTGTCTAGTGGACACAGTGTGGGCGGAGTCGTCTACAGCTCCATCCCTAACACCAAGGTAAACAAGTACTGTGAAATTGGGGGGTGGGGGGCTAAGGGAGTCAGGGTTGGAGGGGGGAGTCATCTACAGCAATATCACACCAAGGAAGAACCAGGAGAGGGTTTGTTATCTACAGCACCATCCCTAACACTGAGGGGGAGAGGGATCTACAGTACCATCCCTAACACTGAGGGGGAGGGGGATCTATAGTACCATCCCTAACACCAAGATAAATAAAAAGGGTGAGGATGAGTAATTATACCCCTGCAAATGAAGTTTGGAGGGGGGGGGCATATAGGAATCACCTTGTCCATCTGTCCATCCATCTGTCTGTTTGTCTGTGCAAACATGTCCGGTCCATATCTTTCTTACGGAGGAAGATTAGAATCTACTACTACACCCAAAGAATGTTCATGACCTGAGGATGTGTCATGACTTTGACCCAAGGTCATTTGGGCAAGTTCAAGGTCACTGGAAGAAAAAGTTCATAATTAGTGTCCAGTCCATATCTTCTTAGGGATAAACTTGGTGAGTTTCCATTTTACACAAAGATTGCTTATGACCTGAGGGTGTGTCTTGACCTTGACCCAAAGTAATTTTTGCAAGTTGAAGGTCACTGAAAGAAAAAGTTCATAATTCATGTCCAGCTACATCCTTCTTATGGAGAATAATGTTGGGATGTTGGGAGTTTCCACTTCCCACAAAGATTGCTTATGACCTGAGGGTGTGTCATGATCTTGACCTATAGTCACTGTAGAAAAAATGGAAAGATAATGCATCCATACTTGCCAATAGAGGAATACTTGAAAAATTATTTATTTTTTCAATGTAATAAAAAAAAATGTTATTATAAGTATTGATGTTTTATTAGGCTGCACCTTAGTTTCATTCATTAAAAAATATAATGAGCAATTAGTGAACACCTCTTAGATCCATCAAATACTAGTATTAGTGACTTGGCACCTTCTCTGAAAAACCCTGCGGGGGGTATTTGTCCATTTTGGACAGTTTTAGTTACACCTTTCCTTATATGATTGGTCTGTGCAATTAGAACAAACTAGAATGACTATTAGAACACTTGTGTCTGGACTTTAAAATAATGTTGTGAATTTACATGTACATTTGATACTATGATGAAATATGACTGAAAAAATTAGTTTGTATCTTATACTGTATGGGGGATTAATTTCACGTGTTGTAATTTTCACGTTTTTCTCTCTTTTTACATGATCGCGGTTTGTTGAATTCGCGGAATTGGCATATAATAAAAGTTACCTCCCTTGTCTATAGCGACATTAATCGGCGTTATATATCCACTTAACAAACAACAGTGTAGGTTTATATGAAATAGTTAGATTTAATAATTAATTGACGATTAATTAAGACAAGTGCAGTTATTAAAAGTCCTCGACTATAAACGTCGAATGACTTTCCTATATGCTATTATGTGAGTGCATGTACACCCCTAGATCTTCTTTCTGAAGGGATAATACATCGCGGCGAAAAACCACTGGACGGTAATTAATGTGTTAATGTATGTCAACGAAATAATATCTTTCCACATCTTCAGCAAGTTCGCTAGGTATTTGAATGATTTTTTTTAAAAACCATAATGTTGATAAAAACTACTAGTAGGTAAAAATACACGTGGTAACATTAGTTACGCACGGGTACTGTAGATTCCTAAATATACACGAGGAATTAATTAACGCGTAATTACGCGAGGAGCACCACTCGCAAAATAAAATTACACGCTTTTATTTTTATGGTGTTGAAATCAATGTTAAATCTCATTGTAAACCGTCCATTCGCGAATTATTGTTCTCGCGATTTGGCGTCTAAGAGCCCTCTTGCGATATTAAGTACTCGCGTAAAATAAGGAATTTACAGTTATCAAAACCCATGATCCACTTCTTTGATTGATGAATCATAGCGTTGGCTATTAAAACAGCTTTTTAACAAATACAGGTTTTTATCTGCTGATTTGAATTAAAATAAAACATGTATATATACCTATATCCTAGTCTATTCTCAAATTTACATATAAAACATGGAGGTTTGTGAAAACTTATTCACTGTTTCTTGAATTCACAGATTTATTAACACCGTGAATATAGCGAATATTAACACCAGGAGTTATTTTCCCCCTATACAGTAATCTGTGTTGCTTATTACACTTAAATGCAGTAGGACTTGAAGTCATTTTTGAAGGGAAATTGTCTTATTTTTTTATATAAACTGCCCTAACACAGGTTATACAGTATAACTTGGGTAGCTATTTAATTCATTCCTTAAATAATTTACTGACTATTGAACCTGTGCCTTTTCTATGTGACCTGGACTCAGACTGTACAGTGATAATTCCAGTCCAAGTTCTTTATATTGCTATAAAAATATGAATTATTATTATATACATGAACTTGTTAGTTTTCAGTGTACAGTGTATAATTAAGTCCAGTCCAAGTTCTTTATATTGCTATAAAAATATGAATTATTATTATATACATGAACTTGTTAGTTTTCAGTGTACAGTGTATAATTAAGTCCAGTCCAAGTTCTTTATATTGCTATAAAAATATGAATTATTATTATATACATGAACTTGTTAGTTTTCAGTGTACAGTGTATAATTAAGTCCAGTCCAAGTTCTTTATATTGCTATAAAAATATGAATTATTATTACTTACATGAACTTGTTAGTTTTCAGTGTACAGTGTATAATTAAGTCCAGTCCAAGTTCTTTATATTGCTATAAAAATATGAATTATTATTATTTACCCCACCTCTGTTGATTTTTCGATGAAATCCTGGCTTACGATTGGTTGAAGTCTGTCACGTGAAGGGGGTGTATTACTTATACTTAGTCGCTTGAAAATCAATACATGGTCGATACGGAGTTATCGTTCTTTTGTATTGTTCGAACAACTCGAGTTCACGCGATTTGCCGAGTGTCTGTTGACAATGTTACAGTTAACTAATGTAAGTAAAGAAGATGGAACCTTTTTCTCCCTTTACTGAAAGTCTTCAAAACTGTCAGTACGTAACACTCGCAAAACAACATAACGTCACACAACGTGACGTCATAATAGGCATTGTATGAGTGATGAAACATATATATAGAGAGAAAAACAATTTTACAAACCACAGACGATGCATAAATATTTTATCGGTGGGGTAAATTCGTTACATAGTTTTGTAGTGACAGGGTACGGGATGATACCTGGTTAGTAAATTCCATACCTGGCTCGGCTTCGCCTCGCCAGGTATGAAATTTACTAACCAGGTATCATCCCGTACCCTGTCACTAAAAAACTATGTAACTAATAATACCTGAACTTGTTAGTTTTCAGTGTACAGTGTATAATGTTAGTCATTATAACTATATTTATTACAGAGACAAGTTCAGCTCCAAAGAATCATCTCCAGGTGTAAATGTCAGGTGTTTTATGCCAGTTATGGAAAAGTTGGACCGGATATAACCCTGGCTATTCCTCCTCCAGTAAGTACTGATGTAACCCTGGCTATTCCTCCTCCAGTAAGTACTGATATAACCCTGGCTATTCCTCCTCCAGTAAGTACTGATATAACCCTGGCTATTCCTCCTCCAGTAAGTACTGAGCTGTATGTTCACTTCTGAATTTGATTTACTCACAAAAATTAATAGTACCATTACACACATCAATATTTTGCAGCCAATGGATGACTCGGACATTGTAGCACCAGAGGAGGCAGTAGACACGTTTACTCTTCTCCACCATGATCTCAATATCTGTACCAACTTTGTAAGTATATCCCACAAGTTTTCATTAGTCCCCTAATGGTGAAACTGAGGGGACTATAGGTTTCTTCTGTGTTTGTCTGTCCGTCTGTCTGTCTGTCCATCTTGCTGTCCCTCTGTCAGTCTGTCCCACTGGGTTTTCCACACTTTTTTCCTAAACGCTTGCAGATATTAAGCTGATTTTTGGTATGTGAGTGTACCTTGATGAGTTACAGATCAAGTTTACATTTCGTTCCTCTTCATTGATATTTGACAGAATTACGACCTTTTCAATTTTTAATGGTTTTCCACAATTTTTTTTCTAAATGCTTGCAGATATTGAGCTGATTTTTGGTATGTGACTTTATCTTGATTAGTTATAGATCCAAATTTACATTTCATTCCACTTCAATGATTTTTGACGGAATTATGGCATTTTCAATTTTTAACGGGAGCCAGATTACACTTGCCGGTAGGGGACAAGTATTGCTTATGCAATACTCTCAGAATGCTTGTTTCATTATAGATTGTTCAATACCATACAGTGCTTAAAAAAAGATTGAGAAATTTTAAATGGTTGTATTGCAGTAAAAAAGTTTATTGTATGAGAAATTCAGACCTACGGTACAAACTAAAGTACATTTCTAAGTGAAAAAGTGTCACTCCTTGCAGCTACTTTAATGTTAATAATCATGTCTCTAACGTTCTGAATTTTTCAGCCTCAATATCAAATGATCCTGGATATTGTCAATAATTTGTTGCTCCATGTGGAACAAAAACAAAAGGTATAACATTTTTAATATAATCATATTTTTAGCTCACATGCCCCGAAGACTCAAGTGAGCTTTTCTGATCAAAACTTGTCCATTGTCATCGTTGCCATTGGCTGTGATGAACTAAGTTTTTACATGGAAATATAAAGGTAAAATCTTTTTCTGAAGTACAGCAAAGCCATGATCAGACATATTTATATGGAAGCATCCTTAGGTGGTACATGTATATATTCTAGTTCGTTCAAATCATGAACCCGGATGGGGGGAGGGGGGCACAATATGTGATCTAAGCTGTAAATAAGAGAATATAAGGAAAAGATCTGCTGATAAAGAATATAAGGGCCATAGTTACTTGGGTGAGCTTTGTGGCCCATGGGCCTCTTTTCTGATCATTAGACCTTCATTGGACTCTATATAAATGTGCCATATTTCATATATAACAGGAGACCACAGACAAGCTACAGGATATGAGATTCCAATTGCAGCTCTCCAATATTGAGGATCAGAAAACTCCAATCCAGTTGACACAGGAAAATCTCAGGTAGTTAATCAACACTGTATAATTTAAGATAGTCAGTTAAGACATGAAATCTCACGTAGTAAGTAGATATGGGGAGCAGATATGGTGGAAATGTCTGATAGTCAGTAGATATGAGGAAATATCAGGTAGTCAGTACAGTAAAACTTCTCTGATCTGGACATCAATGGTTTCATAGAAATTGGCCAGATAAGACAACATTCTGGATTAGACAACATTTTAAACAATAGAATTTACTGAAAGGGACTTAAAGTTAACTTTGAATTAGGCAAGATTTCAGGATAAACAACATCCAGATTAGACAAGTTTCACTGTAGATATGGCAAAAATATCAGGTAGTCAGTTGATATGGGGGAAATGTCAGGTAGTCTGTAGATATGGGGGAAGTGTCAGGTAGTCAGTAGATATTAGGGAAATGTCAGGTAGTCAGTAGATATGGGGGGAAATATTAGGTAGTCAGTAGACATAGGGGAAATGTCAGGTATAAGTACTCAGTAGATATGCGGAGAAATGTCACGTAGTCAGTAGCTATGGGGGAAATGTCAGGTTGTCAGTAGATATGGGGGAAATATCAGGTAGTCAGTAGATATGCGGGGAATGTTAGGTGGTCAGTAGACATAAGGGAAATGTCAGGTTGTTGTTAGATATGGGGGAAATGTTAGGTAGTCAGTACTCGGTAGATATGGGGAGAAATGTCACATAGTCAGTAGCTATGAGGGAAATGTCAGGTTGTCAGTAGATATGGGGGAAATATTAGGTAGTCAGTAGATATGGGGGAAATGTCAGGTAGTCAGTAGATATGGGGGAAATGGTTAGGTAGTCTGTAGATATGGGGAAAGACAGTAGTCAGTAGATATGGGGGAAATGTCAGGTAGTCAGTAGATATGGGGGAAATGTCAGGTACTCAGCAGATATGGGGGAAATGGCAAGTACTCAGCAGATATGTGGGAAGTGTCAGTAGATATTGGGGAAATGGTTAGGTAGTCAGTAGCTATGGGGAGAAATGTCAGGTAGTCAGTAGATATGGGGGAAATGTCAGGTAGTCAGTAGATATGGGGGAAGTGTCAGGTAGTCGGTAGATATTGCAGAAATATCAGATAGTCAGTAGATATGGGGGAAGTGTCAGGTAGTCAGTAGATATGGGGGAAATGTCAGGTAGTCAGTAGATACAGGGGAAATGTAAGGTACTCAGCAGATATGGGGGAAATGGTTAGGTAGTCAGTATCTATGGGGAGAAATGTCAGGTAGTCAGTAGCTATGGGGGATATGTCAGGTAGTCAGTAGCTATGGGGAGAAATGTCAGGTAGTCAGTAGATATGGGGGAAATGTCAGGTAGTCAGTAGATATGGGGGAAATCTCAGGTAGTCAGAAGATATGGGAGAAATGTCAGGTAGTCAGTAGATATGGGGGAAATCTCAGGTAGTCAGAAGATATGGAGGAAATGTCAGGTAGTCAGTAGATATGGGGGAAATATCAGGTAATCAGTAGATATGGGGGAAATGTCAGGTAGTCAGTAGATATGGGGGAAATGTCAGGTAGTCAGTAGATATGGGGGAAATATCAGGTAGTCAGTAGATATGGGGGAAATGTCAGGTAGTCAGAAGATATGGGGGAAATGTCAGGTAGTCAGTAGATATGTGGGAAATCTCAGGTAGTCAGTATCTATGGGGAGAAATGTCAGGTAGTCAGTAGCTATGGGGGATATGTCAGGTAGTCAGTAGCTATGGGGAGAAATGTCAGGTAGTCAGTAGATATGGGGGAAATGTCAGGTAGTCAGTAGATATGGGGGAAATCTCAGGTAGTCAGAAGATATGGGAGAAATGTCAGGTAGTCAGTAGATATGGGGGAAATCTCAGGTAGTCAGAAGATATGGAGGAAATGTCAGGTAGTCAGTAGATATGGGGGAAATATCAGGTAATCAGTAGATATGGGGGAAATGTCAGGTAGTCAGTAGATATGGGGGAAATGTCAGGTAGTCAGTAGATATGGGGGAAATATCAGGTAGTCAGTAGATATGGGGGAAATGTCAGGTAGTCAGAAGATATGGGGGAAATGTCAGGTAGTCAGTAGATATGTGGGAAATCTCAGGTAGTCAGAAGATATGGGGAAATGTCAGGTAGTCAGTAGATATGGGGGAAATCTCAGGTAGTCAGAAGATATGGGGAAAATGTCAGGTAGTCAGTAGACACAGGAAATTTAGAGTATTAATAATTGGGAACAACAGAACAACAGGAAAATCTCATGCAGTTCAGCAAACACATAACAATGCAATTCTCAGGTAGTCAGGAAACAAAGACCTATACTGAGTGGTCAGACAACACAGAAAAATCTCAGGTAGTCCTTCATAAAAAATCTTGAATATTTAACAAAGTAAATATTAGATTGTTAACAAAAAACACACATACATACATGTATATACAGTCAAACCTCATCTCGACCTCGATGGGATCGAGATATCCAAGGGTTCGAGATATTAAGAGTAAAATACATAAGAGATATGTGGTTAGGACTTCTCAATCACTTCCACCTATCCATGGTATTCAAGATATCCATGTTCGAGATACCAAAATTCAACTAGTATTTTGAAATTTGAATAATTTACACACAACAAAACATTGGAAGCATTTACATGTAATTCTGATGATTTTTTATAGGGAGCATTGTTTAACTCTTCGTCGGCTTGAGAAAGAACTCTACCTCATTCACAAAGGTCTGGACGATGACGAGGACAATGAAATGTAAGGAATTTAGAGTTGTCTTTCTTGTTCAGCATTAATCTCCTGATTCATTATAATTTCTACCAATCAAACCTCCTTCACTGACATTTTTTTTTGTTTGTTTTTTTTTCAGTCTGATGCAACAGAGTGAAGAACTGGAACACCAGCTGTTTGATCTCAAGGAAAAAATTTATTATCTCAATGAAGAACTTACTATGAGAATAAGGTATTAATGTTTTAACTGTTTAGTTTTATTTATTGCTGTGTTAAGTAACAAGTGAATACTTATGTATGGTAGTTTATAAAGCTATGATTCTTTCTTGTGACAGTTGTTTTAAAGAGAGCCAACTTCAATTCAAAGCGTTACAGAGAATCATGAAAGGTATTCTATTTATTCTGTATTTACAGTGACTTACGTTAATTTGTCTACAATAGGATAGACATTTAAATGAAATTATTTATATATATGTATAATAAATTCATCTGAACTAAGATTTTTTGAGATTGTAAAATTACGAATCTAAAATAGATAATTTTTCTGTGAGCAGCTCAACAGGTGCATGTGTCAAGGCGGAATGAAGTGTGTTTTAAGTTTGCTCAGTGGCGACTGACCAGGGAGGATGGGCAACTGGGAATAACGGATCTGATGCTGAGGAACTTTGTGTAAGTGATAAAAAAGACTACTTTTCAAGTCAAATACACTAAATAGATAGGAAACTGTAAATACTGATAGCACTCTACGAGCCAAGTCAAGCATTATATATGTTGGAAAACCTCGGTTAAAAATAAATTTTAAAGATTAAATATGGGTAAAATAAAATGTAGAATGGTATTGCTTCTGCAGAAAAATAAGGGGAAATTAGAGAATTAAATTGTCATTGCTTTAAAGGTGCTTGGACACAGATTTGAAGTTAATATTTTCTCAAATTTTCTGAATAATTTCATGACTTGTGTGTTGTTATAGCATTTCATACTAAAATATAATAAAAATCTTATTTCATCTCGAAGTTATTAAAACTTCTATTTTCTGGATGCGTTGGATTGACACATCCTTGTGCTTTCACATATTTTAATTTTATTCTTAATACTTAAAAAAAGTGGCAATTTTATTGCGTATTAATGAAAAATATTAAAACTATAACCCAGAAAATTCAGAGTAGAAATGTTCGAAAGCAAAATCCACTCACAGTATTGTAAGTCCGTACTCAGTGGTGTGTGCAGAGTTTAACAATTGAACACACCCGGTGAATCGTATACACTAACAATAACAGAGCTCGTGCCCTGTTTACAAAAACAGTTTACGTTTCACGGGTGTGTTCAATTTGTTAAACTCTGTACACATCATAGAGCACGGACTGACAATACTGGTGAGATGGTTTTGCTTTCGAACATTTCTACTCTGAGTTTTCTGGATTATAGGTGTAATATTTTTCATTTATACATAACAAAATCGCTTCTTTTCTTAAATATTAAGGATAAAGTTAAAATTTGTGTAAGTGCAAAGATGTGTTAATCAAATGCGTCCCAGAATTCGTAGTTCCAATAATTTTCAGATAAAATAAGTTTTTAATTATATTTTCGTGTGAAATGTTATTGCAATATATAAGTCGTGATATTATACAGAAAATTTGAGAAAATATTAAGTTCAAATCTGTGTCTAAGCACCTTTAAAGTCCACAATGCTGTTTTAGTGAGCATTTCTTTGCAAGATTAATTGGAAGTTTGATAAATTTAATCTTCTTTACAGATACACTAAAGTGAACAGGGATAATGACACATGGACCCACCAGCTGGAACTGGGCTGGGTCAAGATGACCAATCTCCTACCAAACACTATCTACAAGGTGAGGGAATTTTGAAAAAACATGTATTTTATGTGCAATTTTGATGATAAATTTACTGTGGAATCATTTTAATTTGTGAGGGTCAATCTTCGTGGATAAGAGAATTTTACTTTGTAATTACGTTGGTTTGTTGGGACGTAAATTTGTGAATAACTTGTATATACATTACAGAAGATTCAGTGAACCATTTCCTACCTTTAAATTTATCACTATGCAAACGGTTTTGAAAAGAGGTGCAGACTAAACAACTTACCGAAACACATTCTGAATTCTTTAACTTATGCTAAAATACCCCCGACACAAAGGCTTTGTTACATGGAAATCGCAAAATTTTTCCCTGTAAAAATATCCATGTTTACAGTTTTCTTGCTGGGGATGTCTATTCATGGGTAAGGGTACCCCTCAAAATCCACAAAAATTAGTCCCCCCAAAACAATTATGATTCCACAGTATTTTCTCTTTATCCCTACAAACACATTAAAATTGAATTTTTTTTAAAGTGATTTAACTTTACATTAACACGAGAGTTAAAATAATTGCAGGATGTTCTGGTTCCCCTTGTGCTGGGTAAAGAGAATGATCTCAGACAGATGGCTCTCAGAATCATATGTAGTGAGAGACCCCCAGGTGAGTGACATAAATCATATGTAGTGAGAGACTCCCTGGTGAGTGACAGAATCATATGTAGTGAGAGAGACCCCCAGGTGAGTGACAGAATCATATGTAGTGAGAGACCCCCAGGTGAGTGACAGAATCATATGTAGTGAGAGACCCCCAGGTGAGTGACAGAATCATATGTAGGGAGAGACTCCCAGGTGAGTGACAGAATCATATATAATGAGAAACCCCCAGGTAAGTGACAGCAAGACAAAATGGTCATAACAAACTTGTAAATTTTCAAAACCTTCATGATCAACTTCACAAATGCAATCATCATATAGATGTTTATAAATTTGTATTGAGAAATGGACTTTTGAGCTTGAATACTGTTCGTTATCTCCATACATTTCATATAAAATTTTCAGTCACTATCAGTATTTTACTACGCATGCCAGTGATGCTACATATAAAATAATACTTGTACATTACTTTTAGTTGGAGGGATTGCTGTGAAGGAGCATTTTGAGGTGAATGTAGTTCCTCTACAGATTCAGATGACTTATCAGTTTTACAAGACGGTCATGGAATTCTTCTTTCCTGATAAAAACATTGAATCAGAAGGCCAAGGTGAGAGAGAGATACAGTACATGTTACTATAAAATGTGATATGTCCTGTATTAGAATGTTCTGCATGTCCATGTTAAAGTTACTAAAACTTGTTTGAGATTAGAGGCAAAGTGTTACTAAAACTTGTTTTGAGATTAGAGGCAAAAAGTTACTAAAACTTGTTTTGAGATTAGAGGCAAAAATTTTCTTAAATAAAATGTTTCTATTTTATATAGATGGTTAGGGATTCATAATTGTATATATATTGGTTTGAAATACTTCAGTAAACTTTTGCTCTCCTCTGACATTATTTTTCACACTTCAGAATGATGAATAAGTTATAAAAATCTTAATATGAAAATATATATGTTTATTTTATTAGATGGAGAATCAGACAAGCCTCTTGTGAAGAAGAAGGTTGAAAAAAGACCCTCCATAAAGAGAGACAGTGTCAAAAGGAGCTCCTCAGCTCATAACTTTGCAGAAATCGATAAAATGAAGGCAAGTGTTAACCTTTCTTCAATTTTACATTTCAATGAAATATAACTCAGAAACTGTACGAGATAAACAAATTAATGTTGTACAAATTTTCAGAAATATAAACTATGCTTCATAATTTTATTCTTCCAGGAAAGAGCTTCAAATAACAACACCTTTGTGTATGTAAAAATTCCAGAAGTTTCTCTTCGTGTGAGCTACAAGGTAAACACATTAAAACTTCAGATTTCTTATAAACTGACTTGTATTGAGAGCGTTTGGTGACTTGGTTATTGTACAAATGTTTAGGGAGAGAAGGAGAAGAATATAGCAGACATCCACGACTTTAGCATCGTTCTTCCAACCATGGAGTACCACAATCAGATCTGGACCTGGTTTGATCTCCTCATGGCAATCAGGGGGGACACCAAGAGGGTCATTCTGTCACAGGTTCTTAATTTGTCCTTATCAAATTCATACATCCATCTGGGGTAACAAGATCGACATAATCTATTATAGTCTGTTTCTAACGACTTGAAATAAATTTTATGCATGTCATTGTAAACATGAAGATGGTGATACATATTTGAGAAATTCATATATTATTTAAAAATTTTTTTGCCCGGATAATACGATTCTTTGAATTGCCTGTAAATGTAGACTGACCCTGTCTCGTATACTCTTTTAGACTGTTTATTAATTCAGTGTTTGATGTCCTGCTTGTAGGCTATCAAACAAAAACTACACATGAAGTCTAGAGTGGGAGAGGAGACTCCGCTTACTGATGTTCAACAAGAGGAGGACAAAATGAAAATGTTGCTTGGTGCTAAACTCCTGGTAAGTGACAAAGCCAAAGTAAGGAAGAGGACAGACTCCTATGATATGTACATATACATGTAGTAGTAAAATGTCTATGGACAGTTTCCTTAGATATAGTGTATACTTGAGTAATTGTCCAAGGACTGTTTCCTGTAATGTATACACAAGTGAGGTCAAGGTCAAAAATGTTGATGCAGTTGAATAGCTTACATCAGTATGTATCAGCATATGAAGTTTGATAAATATATCTTGAATGGTTTCTTAAAAACTGAGCTAAACACTAATTTAAGAAAAGTGAGGTCGAGGTCAAAGGAGAGGTCAAGGTCAAAAAATGTTGATGCAGTTGAATAGCTTACATCGCTATGTATCAACATATGAAGTTTGATTACACTATCTTGAATGGTATCTTTAAACCTGAACTAAACACTAAGTTAGGAAAAGTGAGGTCAAGGTCAAAGGAAAGGTCAAGGTCACAAATGTTGATGCAGGTGCATAGCTCTCATCAATATCTATTAGCATATGAAGTTTGATGAAAATATATTGGCTAGTTTCTTTGAAACTGAGCTTAACGCAAAGTGCGACAGAAGGATAGATGGAAGGATGGAAGACGGACATGACAAACACTATATGCCCTGGCCATATTCATGACGGGGCATAAAAATCATGCAAAGGGACAGTTTCTTATACAGCAGAACAGTCTTGATATTTTTTCTTGTTTTGTAGGCTGGACAGGAGAAACCTGCAAAGAAAGGAATCTTTGGAAAATCTCAAAAGAAGTAACATTGTGTTACAAGAACAATGGTTTAATGGCTCTCGGGGCAAATCTCAAAAGAGAAAATGATAGTGTAATATAACAGTGTAATGCTGCTATATAAGAGATAAAAATTTGTTTTTTGCTTTTTTTCTGTGCCAGGAGTCTTTCTTACATGCAGAGTTTATTGAGCAATGTTTACTTAGCTATGTTAACTTAGCTATGTTTATTGAGCTATGTTTACTTAGCTATGTTAACTTAGCTATGTTTATTGAGCTATGTTTACTTAGCTATGTTAACTTAGCTATGTTTATTGAGCTATGTTTACTTAGCTATGTTAACTTAGCTATGTTTATTGAGCTATGTTTACTTACATGCATACTGTAAAATCACATATTTTCTTGAGGTCAAATTTTCATGGTTTGAGGAAAATATACTGGTTTGTGTGGATGTGGTTGAGGAAGTCCGGACTTGTTATATATTTAGAATTTTACATTTTGTGGGGGACATGAAATAGTGGGTCTCTCTATACCTTAAAATTGGTGAATATAAAACGCCCACGAAAATAAGTGATTTCACAGTAATTCATTTCTTGCTGAGCTGAAATTTTTTTTAATGCTTATATATATATACATGCATTATGAGGTGTGCATACACATGATTTTATGAGGAATAAAACTGAAGATAAAGTAATTAACATGTATGAACATGTAATGCATACTTTGTTAAACAAGTTTATCTTTTCCATCTTATAATTTCTCATCATTATATTCAGTTTGTATATTGTAAAAAAAGGTTTCTTACAAAACCGCCAGAGAGAGATTATAATCTACATGACCAATGTTGTTAAGAGAACAACGATACTTGTTTTATGGTGCTGCTATTGTTATGCTAGTTATTGTTGAATTTTATAGTCTGTGATATTCCTTGCTTCAGTCATATTTTATATGTTTTAGAATTCAATATTTTCTGTGAGGTGGAACTTTAATTTTACCTTAACTGTAAGTCATGATAGTTTTCTTGGGTATAGCTCAAACTTTTGTATTTATTTATTGTTATGTGTATTTAAGGTTTTGCTTATTTAAAACGACATCAGTTTATAATAAATTGAGTATTGTATTGTTAAGCTATTTTCTTTTTCAGTTGAGAGTGTTTTACAATATCAATACAAATAGAATCATTTAGCTTCTGTTTGCCCCTTTGTCTGCCCCTACACCCTATATCCTTTGCACCATAAAAGGGATTTAATACAATAAGCACATTTATATCTTGAGTTAAGGGTTGCTATAAAATTCTAGGGTCACTACCTGCATCTTCCAGGGTAAAATATTTAAGAAATAAGTGGTTGGGACACTTTGACATATCCATGGTCTTCAAGATATCAGTATTCGAGATATGGAAGTTCAACTTTTAAAATATGATGAAAAACATTATTCCTGATAATATCTTTTACATTTGAAATGGTTCATCCTCAGAGGCCTTGAAAATACTAGATACAATTGTTGATACTGTATTTTTGAATTGTATAATAAATAAACATACACTCTGTATGATTATTTAACAGCAGTATGAATAAAGGATCTAAGATTAAGCCTGTAAATTCCTTCCTACAAGACTAATATCTCCTTGTGACCTTTACCCTGAGGTGACCTTTCAACTTGAGAACTCTAAATCAACTGTAAAACAGTGTTAGTTTCTTTTCCATTCTACTACATGTATTTATTTTTCAGGCTACCAAAATTTGCATGTATCATTTTTATATCGTAAATATAGCCTCTATTATTAAGTTTCTTTTGACTGAAGTTTAAGACCCGATATGAGCCTATTTTTTTTATTGAACTAACTTTAATTAAGGAACAACAGCCATTGAATGCCTAATTTTCAGTTGCTTGATTTGTAATATTAATGGAATGCTGCAAGATGTTACAGTTTGAAAAAAAAATTCAATATGTTGCAATAAAAAAATCATGAAAACAAATTTTGTCCTAGCAATTATGACAGTATGTAATGGTATATGTAGAGCAAGAGACTTTACAAGTTAACGCAGAATGTTATATCGCAGAATGTAATTATCACTACATTTTGCATCATTGCATTAGAACTGTGTTGATTACATGTACATTCTGCGTCTTTATTACATTTTGCATTGTAATAGTGCTTGCTCTTCCTCTTCTTTCAACTATGATCTCGCTGGAGACGTCATTACTGGTAACGTTAATATACAATGTAGTTGAAAAACACGACCTAAAAGCCATCATTTTAAAAGGTCCTAAATACAGGGAGCCCCCGATCTTTCAATTGGCAGCAGAACTTCATTTCTATTATGAATTCTGTCGAAGAATATGCCAGACGTTGAGCGAAATATGAAGTAGAAGACCTGGCCGCTTTGTCTGAATAGATTAAGTTTTTTTTTAAATATATTATAGAATAGTGTTAGAAAGTTAAAAGGCAATATGCAAACCATCTGTCCATCCATTTTCACTAAATCGGAGGTCATAAGAGAATTAGCAAGACTAAACGAAAAATATATTATGCAGATGATAAAGGTATATTGCTACATAATAAGGGAAGTTGACGATTGAAAAATTGAAGTCGCCACGTTTATCATAAAGCTTTGTGAAACAGATGTGTCAGACTCTGTGGTATCTTTTATTTCAAGCTCACTGGGATATATCGAGTCGACATGAATGAAAGTAAATTTGTTAATTGATAATACGTTGTCGATATATCTAAATGTCGAGTTGAAGGCCACAGAAAGCGGTTTCTTTTTCTCACGTAGAAGTTTCTGAATAAATTCTGCTTCATATGAATACAAAAATAGTCCTGCTAATAAGCATCTTTTTAATATCAACTTCAGAGTATTGTTCAGAATGTTTTTAACAAAATAATTTCTTAGAGTGTCCATGTTATGTCGAGCAAAGAAATACTATTTTTAATTGTATATCTAGTGTAGACCTGCAACATCCTGTATCTCTAAATCTGTTGTTATTTGGTGATAGTAATATTCCTTATGCAAAAAAATATGAAATTGTTTGATTGTGTTCATAAATATATTACACAAACCAAGAAGTTTCATAAATGATGTGAAATTATAAAATATTTGTTTCTTGTTTAAATCAAATACACATTCATTGTATTTTCATTAATTGCTGTAATTCCCATTTCTCAGTTTTTTCTCTCATTTTCACATAAACCGGTATTCATTTGATTTTTTTTCTACTCTTATTTTTTTTCTCCTAAATTCCATTCAATTTTGTGTTACTTAACTATAACTTATTGGTGATATGAACCTGTATTTATATGTAGTAGTATGTATATTTTAATTAATCTTGCCGTGGAGAGGGCTTATATAGACTATGCCTGCTGCCCAATCCATTTATGTATTTATTACATAATAAAATATGTTCAAATAAAATCAACAAAATAATTTTGCAAATAACCAACGACAAGGTAAGTATAATATACCGAAAAGTTAGAGAAAGGCACATTCTTCTCGTTGACAATATCTACGTGGTTGTTGGAGACCAGGTCTTTCAACAATCTGTTGGAATTTCGATGGGTACTAATTGTGCTCCTTTATTAGCCGGCCTGTTTTTAAATTCCTGTGAATCAGATTTATTCAAAAACTTAAATGAGAAGAAGAAAACACTTGCTGTGGCCTTTAACTGGACATTCTAGATACATGTATATCGATGACTTTTTATCAATTAACAATAGTTCCATTCATATGATACCAGTATATCCCAGTGAACTCGAAATAAAAGACACCTCAATGTCTGCCACATCTGTTTCATATTTGGAATTTTTACTGAATATAGGCTATAAGGACTAACCAACAACTAAATTGTATGACAAAGGAGACGACTTCAGCGGGGCCTCGGCTCCATTACTTTTCAGGAATGGAGCGTTACTCTTTGGTAACCTTTACCTAATTTTTTTATGATTTTTTTTTCAATTATAAATAATTGGTAATAGTTCAGGCGCGATAGCACGAACGTACACGCCAGGGTTTTATATGCGTACATGTTTTTCATGTTTTACATGCATGTTTTGTGATAAGAGACTGTATATGGTCAATGTTGAGTAGCTAACTGATAACAGGAACGGGTGATGGAAATAATGTGATTCTTCATACTTAAGAGTTTTAGACTCCAAGAAGAGTTTTTGACACACATTATGCTGGTAATAAAATTATTTCCAACGGAAAGTTGGCATGTCAGTGCCACACTGGAATGTTGTTTAGGTGAATACACAATAATCTCGTTCTTGTCCTTAACAGGTTTGAGCGCATCCAGGATTTAATGTCAGACAAACACTCCTCTAGTATTCTTGTGCTCTTGCGCTTGTGTTCCTTGTATGCATAGCCTTGAAGACTAAGTATGCCTGAGTGTCATTGGCATAACAATGGCACGATGTTACAATGTATGTCTACGGCATATCTCGCCTATTTGTTTGGAAACATCGCATAGAGTTCAGGTCCGAAAACGGAACCCTGAGGAACTCCACAAGAAAGCAAAAAGTCCTTTGAATGTGTAGATCCGATGACTACTTTTGCTTATGATCAGTGAAGTAGGATCTTATTTATGCAAGGACTGCACCAGTACATATAATGTGTGATGCCAAAGGAGAACTCAAGACGCCTAAGAAGAATCTGGTGATCAATTATATCAAAGGCAGGAGAAAGGTCCAGCATCACATGCGAATCACGAAAATTACTGTCCAAGACTGTCATAATGTCTTGATGAACTCGTAACAGTGTCGTCTCTGTTGTGTGACAGAGGCGGTATGCTGAGCTACATGATTTAAGAAGTAGGATTCTATGTACACATGTGACTTATGCGAACAGCAACTGCTTCTCGAGAATTTTGTAAAGGAACGAAAAGTTCGAAACTGGTCTGTAGTTCTTTAATAAGTCTGGTTCTAATCCCGCTTTCTTTTTCTGTGGTCGAACAATGTCTTGTTTGAAGGAACTAAGGAAAACTACATTCTGTAAATGATTTATTCACTATTTTTGTAAACAGAGGTAGTAGAAGATCTAAACCTGATTTTAAGAATGTTGTTGGGATCGGGTCAAGGTCACACGATTTGGCTGAAGCTGCTTTTATGATGTTTTGTGCTTCATCTTGCGTCGCTAAGTTGAACTTGCATAACTATTCACCAGCGAACTGAACATCAGCATAGAAGGATTCTCTTTCTCTGAACAGATGTTTTGACATAAACTGTTTCTGATTGTCTGGATCTTATTCAAGAAAAAAAATTCCAAAGGTATTGGCAAGTGTCTCTTAACATTGGTGTTCAGGAATTGTAGAATTTTATCACATTTCCCATTAGTCTGCTTGTAATATAAGTCGGTATATCTGCCATGGATTTCGACTTGTTTCTTCTATTTTGTTAGAATAATCTTTCTTGCAAATAATAAGTTAACTGCATCCTTAAATTTGAGTTGATAAATTCGTTTATGAACCACCGTTAAGCAGCAAGTAGTTCTACATATAAAGGACTATTTGGGTACAACATGATTTCCTTTGTTTGTAATGTGCTGTTGCCTCCAGAATGTTACGAACTTTTTTTATCAACAAGCTCATCAACTGGTGAGGTTATGTACAAGTTTTAAAATAAAGCACTTAACCCAATTTTGAATTTACAAACGTCTATTTGGCGAAGCTTACGATAAGTCACTACCTTCCGTTTGGCAGATAGTTTGGTAATATGAAGGTTTGTACAGATCGCGAGATGATCCCCAGAAGGACAACCTTTGTTGTCAATTGATTGATTGTATGTTGTTTTATACATGCCAATCGAGTATTTTTCACTCATATAGAGACGTCACCATATACCGATGAACGGCTTCAAATTTTGACCTTTACTCGGCACTCAGGGCCATTGAGCAGTGAGGGATCTTTATCGTGCCAACGCCTGCCGTGACACGGGGCCTAGGTTTTTAAGGTCTCATCCGAAGGACCCGCAACTTTCACTTCAAAGTGCCGAGCGCATGGCGAAGGAACAGTTGCTACTTATTTTTTATCGAATTAGGTCAGTCGCGGCCGAGATTCGAACGCATGACCTTCCTATCACAGAGCGAGCGCTCTACCGACTGAGCTACCGTGAACGGTCCTTTGTTGTCAAAGAGACATGGGTCAAAAAGGGTGGGTTCATTGTGTAATAAAAATTGTGGATCCCCGCTTTCGGGGTGGTGTTGGTTGTGGTTCAATGATGTTACTGTTTTGTCTGTCCATCAAGTTATATATTTTTTAGTAATATGTTCTGCAAAAGTTACTGCCAAATTCAAATGTTTGAAAAGTATCAGGATCAGATGGTTAAAAAATCATAGTACATTCAGAAAGGTTTTGTCACATGTGCCGGGTAATGCAATAGTGATAAATTATAAAAGCCCTCTCTTCTGTTGAAAAACTTGCAGCCAAGTTAAAAAACAGGTCACACTTCCAAGGTCAAGATCAAGAGGTAAAATTCGTAGTATATTCGGAAAGGCCTTGTCACAAGTTATGCTATGTGAAATACATTCAGGGGTTATGGCTAAGGTTAAAGTTTTTGTGAGATTGACAGACGAATGAGATGTAATGTCCCCATGCTTCAACGAAAGCGGGGGACATCACAACAATGACTAACCTAGCTGACGACTCTGAGAAATATTTCACTCGACGATCAAGTAAGGTTAGGTGACCTGATGGAATATGCTCTTCAAGAGAGCAGGTTACTACACTTTTACATAGTCCCACATATGCAAATACATTGCAGCAAATCTTGGGTAATTCTTAAATACTTTAGGATTAGCATGAGGAAAAATTCTGAAGTTGTTTCCTGATGCTGGAACTTAGCCTTATGATAAACATGCATGATGACTTCAATTTTTCAATCGTCAACTTCCCTTATGTAGCAATATACATTGTACCATAGGACTGGCGGTAAATTTAGATTTTGCTTTCATGTTGCTGTGGTGTATTTGCCAGAAGAATCACAGTTTTTTTTAAGTCACGCCCACCTTTTGGCATCAAGCCATACTGTGTCAAGACCTTGACTAATGAATGAATGATGTCAATTTCAAGACCAAGGCAATGGCTGATGAATGAATTAAGTCAACATTTTAAATTTCAAAAATACTAACATTATTTAGCTTGTCGGTGTCCGCTTCATAAATGGTTCTGTATGTTTTCTCCGCGTATCCTTAATCAGTAAATGATACGTCCTATCTCGAATTCTCGTCATTTTCTTTCCCGTCTCCAAATACATATAGCAATTTCACATCAGAAGTCCCCGCATTTTTTTACTTCCAATACCATTTCAAACTTTCATTAAAATGTCACAAATCATTTCATTTTTTTCCATAAAGAAAAAGTTCAATGCCGATGTTTCCCATATCCATCCCCCCTTTTTTCAAAAAAAAAAAAAAAAAAAACGATCTAGAGAGATAACTTTTCTTTCAGAGTTGACGGCTTGAACATAAAAGCCTACAATCGCTACCCCTATACCTGTACCTGACAAAAATCATGTTTTCTGCGTCTTCAACATTTCAGAGGTACAATATCTTCACACGTACCAATTCCGATTTTTTTATCAACAACTTGTAGTAGCAGTGCCGCAGTAAAGTATGATCCTTGCAGATGGAGACAGCTATCTATACAGACTCCGGACCGTGTCTTGACACCTCGTAGTAGGCGGTGCTATTTATCAACTCGCTTTTCTCTCATTGGTCCTCTGGTACAAGTAACTTACACAATAGATATTAATTGGTTAGCTGTAAATACACTCACAGTTTTTATTCACTCGGGGCTCCGCCCCTCGTGAATGAAAAACTGTGAGTGTATTTACAGCTAACCAATTAATATCTATAGTGTAACTATAACGTACCCTTATCACCTGCATATGGGGGTTTTGTCTCCCAGTTGATTCGATACGCGAGAGCATGCTCTAGGTATGAACAATTTCTAAAATTAGGCAAGCTATTGACAAACAAGTTGATGAAACAAGGATATCAAGAGTCTCGTTTGAAGTCATCATTTCGCAAGTTCTATGGTCAATACAATGACCAACCATGTCAGCAAATACAACCTAGCATTAAGTCAAATGCTGACTGACGTTTTTCATACAATTGTAAATTAGGCCATAATTTACACACTGAATTGTCTACGGATTTTTCCGTTTTCCCAATCATGACAAGGAGCACACGGCGAGTGTGACCGATGGGCAGGGGATGCTAACTCCTCCATGACACATGATCTCACCTCTAATGTTTTTGGAGGTCCGTGTTTGCTCTGCTCCCGATTTGTATTGTCTAAATCGACTTTGAGCTTGAATACTGTTCGTTTTCTTCATATTTCATGGAAAATGCCAGACCACAAAGACTTACAGTGTATATGGATAATATTTACCTCTGACAATTATATAGGGACATTCGTGCGTCACATGTCGAAGAATATACCATAGTCTATCCCATCCGAGTGCTCCCACCACATTTCAAACGATAACAAATAACTGCTTTATTTTCAAATAAAATGTGGCTCATCGTCGCAAGTCACAGATTTTGTATCCATTCTACTTCGGACACAAAACCTGTGGCTTGCGACAATAAATGTGGCTATACTTAAAAGTTTTATCATTTCCAAACCATTTTAGTGCGTCTGGTTACATGCGATCGCAAAACGAACCAAAGTCTACGGGTATTTCAAAGTTAATTTACATCATCGACGTCAAGAGTTCGAGAGAAGAAGCCACTTTAACTCGCAGACACAACTTTTTTCATAATTTATTGACAGTAAGTATACAAGATTCACATTAATAAAACTATTATAATATTATGCAGAGCGAGTTTGACTTAATTGCACACAGTTTTTCATTTAATATCACTATATAAGTGGTATACGCAAGGCGTTAATCACAGTATTTCATTTTGCAGCTAAAAATGTCTTTCTCTGTTTTTTGACATCCATATCCTAACTTTGCAATCATCTGCTACACTAATTAAAACTTCCTGGTCACGTGGATGAAAGGCGACAGCATTCACTCCATTTTTTGGATCCGGAAGTGTGTGAGGTAATTTAGCGATGACGTGTTTCGAATGACGATCCCAAAGAAAAGCAACATCTTGTTCAGATCCGCTTTAAGGACACATGAAACAGATAAAAAGATACCATGTATTGAAACATGAAAGCATCATTTTTTAAAGATTTTCTTAAGTTAAGAAATGATGGATACCTTGCAAGGAAATCGGAAGAAATGCTAGGGAAGAAGTAAAATATTGTTGCAGACTGCTCTAAAGCTTTGTTTCCTTCAAACACTTCCGGTTTTTCTCCAATGTTTGCTAGATTGATCACCATTGTATTGACATCTTTTTCGTACCAGCTGTTATCACCATCTATACAAACCCTCCTTAAATTGTACACTATGTACCTGTAATACAGGGTAAGTAATGGAATAACAAGTACAGGTCAGTATTTGAAAGTTCGTAATAAATTTAAACATGAAATATCACAGCGATTACCCAAATCATCTACGTACAATGAAGGAATGAACTGTTTGAAAAAAAATTTCTATTTATAAAAAAAAGAGTTAAGCAAATGCTGATGGGCCACAACCTAAGTCAGCATTCTCTTCTGACAAATGAATATGTACATGAAGATAAATGAAAACTCCTATTGTCGTCTCCAGATCAACCATGATTTCATCAATTTTAATGAACAATATACATGTACATGTATAGGCTTAATGTTTACTTTATACATTGTAGCTTTCTTATGGTTTTTGCAGATGTCTAAATATATGTAAATGTACAATGTATCTCTTTATAAAACCTTTTTGCAAATTGTAGCCAAAACGTATTCCCCCAGATCATACTCTGAGTTAACTTGGATCTACACTAAAAGGGGATGAAACAGGACCACCTCTTTACTGACGATATAAAGTTGTACTATTTCAAGAAATAACAGAATTCAGGTAAAAAAAAAACACAATGTAGAATGATGATCATCAGCTCCTTACCTATGATCTGCTGATAGATTCACTCCCAGACAACCACTGTTTATCATGATTATTTTTATCGGTTCTGCAACACTTGGAGTCTCGGAATCTATGTCAATTTTATAGAATACCAGTCTGTGGACAATATCCCATTCCAGACTCTGCTGGTATATAATCACTACCCTCTCGCTTGGTCGGGAATTCTCCACGCGTTCGATTGAAGAATCTTGGTTCCATTTTGACCACTCAATGACCTTAACTAAATGAGGTCGATACTCATCGCGCACCATTTCTAGTAGAGACCATAATTCCACATTGTCATCCGTGAGATGCTCTAGAAGAGGGCGTTCATAAAGTTCCGGATTTTCCAATTCGTCCTCATAGAACTAATTGAATGAAAGAGAAAGAATGTTAATATGAGCTTTAAAATAGAAACAGTAAGTGTCTGTATTAAACCCCACTCACCTTACAGCTAATTAACTTCACGTTATCATTGGAGAAAAAGTATGCCAATACATCTGCTAAAAGGAAAGTGTCATTCGTCAGCCAGGTTCCTCTAAAATTAGGAAACCACGAATGCCTCGCCGCCACGACTGCAAGATCTAAACAAATAAATTCAAATCTAACATGCCATACAGTGTATATTTACTCATTAATTCAAATCTAACCTATTATGCCACATGCAATAATGCAGATTATAATAATTCCAACCTGAAAAGATGAATAAAATTTTCCAATATATCATATTTTCTCGTTTATATTAAGTTTCAGTTGGATGTTCCAACTAATTTTTTGTCCAATATATAGCATGTTCTGTAAAAATCTACAAGTGGATGAATCAAGATTTGCCTTTGGCAATGGCGAGCACCGCCAGTGCGACCTGTAATCCCCCCTCTTCTCTCATCATACAGTTCACGATAAGGTGCGTTTCAGCTTCATTGAACTCCACGTAGTTGGCATACGACGGCGGATCCACGACTTGACGGGAGTGTAAAAGCTCCGTATTGTTGCCATATTTCCATACCTATGTAAATAACAAGAAATTACGCTGAACTTCATTGTATAAAAATTGTAGTTAAGGGTAACATTGAAAATTTACACCCAGCCGACGTTGAAAACGGTTTTCGAGGGGAGAAAATTTTTCTCTGTTATACTCTCAACTACATGCATATGCAATGTTTATGTAATATTTATTATGTTATACTGAATGCTTTATCATGTTTATACTGATATATATAACAGTGACAGTGAGTGTGCGCATAAATTCTGCACAGTCAACATTTTTCTTTTGGAGAGGGGGGGGGGGGGATATCACTCGTCGCCAAGCATTGCTGCGTTATATCAAGCGTGAGGGCGTGGTTTTCATCATTCAGAGTGTAACAGTGTTTTAAAGAAAATGTTAAGGTTTAAAAATTGGCCATAAATAAAATGTTTTTTTCATTATACCATATATGGCCAATTTTTTACAAAAGTACAAACCAATTGCACAGAATGACATACAGATATAGAATTGACGGAGAAATCACATATTTTCGAGAAAATAATATTTTATATTAGTTAGTTGGGGGAAGGGGGGGGGGGTTGGTTCACGCTTCAGGTGCCCGTGGTTTGACGTACCTTTACAATACCGTCTGCTCCACAGGTAGCTATGAATTTGCCGCTATTAGAAAAGCACACATAGTAGATTTCATCCACGTGACCCTCGCACGTTTGATGCAGACGGGTAGGGGCATGGTAAGTTAGGCGCTTCAATTCCGATTTCCAACTGACGTCATGTCGAGAGTAACGACATCCTATATTCACATACGTTAACGCTTTCCATAAACTTTCATCCTGGGCTATTCGATACCAATTCTACCGAAAGAAAAAAATGCATTTGGTAAATATCTCTCCTATATTTATTTCAATTTTACATGAAATATTTATTTCAAACAAGTTTGATAACTTGCTATTCTAAAATGTTACATTGAAGATACCAGCTCTTCAAATTTAGTATAAATGTATCAAAATGACCCCCCCCTCCCCCTAAATAAGATTCTATTATAGAAAATAAAGCATCTTTAATTTTATGGATGTGTGGATGTGCCCCCACAATAATTACATGTGATGACTTTTTTTCTCGCTTGTCAAGGAATTTTTTCTTGATAGTGCCCCCCCCCCCCCAAAAAAACTGAAAATGTTTGGTTGTGCCATGTTTGGTTGTGCCCCCCCCCCCCCTTAAACTGAATTGCTTCCTACAGGTCTGAAACTATTGCAAATAAACAATTTTTCGGTTAATGATGGACATTCTCTTTAAAATTTTACAGTTAATATACATATCTTATACAGTGAAAGTATTAATTAAAATAAATCACGCAAGGAATAATTAACTCTGGTATAACTATCGAAGTAACATCGAAATCCAGGTAAGATTCTAAGTGTTAAGGAGTTGAGTGTAACATTGAAAATTTTCATCCCTCGAAAATCATTGTCAAAATCGGCTGCGCCTTGGTTAACAATAGTGTTCTTGGGGTGAAAATTTTCAATGCTACACTGAACTACATGCGTAACATGCAGTAATTATATAAATATATATAAAGCAAATGCTAATTATATGTTTAGCATAATATAATATCTAAAATTTCAGTTTCTGAAAGGCGCCCTGATCCTGTCTCCTCTCTTTCTGTAATTATTTTATTTTTTGCTTACTTTTAATCACCTTTTTTGCCACCATTCAATATTAGGCTTGCACAGATAATAGGGACTTGTTCGTCTTTGAGGCATCTTGGGGTTATGTAGAAAGAAAATTGCATAATTTTAGAAGGAATCATAAATCTAATACCTTGCACGTTCTGCATACGCTGTTTAACTCATTTTTATCCAAATAAGAGAAAACGTGAAGTAGAACTGGATCGGTCAGATGTTCCCAGTCGTCAGCACTCTCGATCTAAGGGAAGTAACTCTAAAATTATCTAACACCACAAGAAGTACTAAACAAAACAGAACCAGTACCTTATTGAATTACGAATATATAATGTATATAAATAACAACTTACCATCTGACTGTGTTCAGATATAGTTTTATGTTTCCTCTTACTCCATCAAATAAAGGAAAACATCTAAATATTTAACCGATCACTTCCTCGTATCCAGTGAGGCAACCGGATCAAAACAGTAATCTATTTATAGAATTAGGCACGGATCCAAAAAACCCTTATTAAAGTGCGCGTCATATCTTCTAAATAAAAAAAGAAAGAAAGAAAAGAAAAAGCAAGATAATACATGAAATAATTTTATTCAGTAAATTTCACCAGGATACTGCTGTTGAAGACATCGAAGCATACATTTTAAACAATATTTGTAAATTTTGAGAATAAAAACTAACTTGTGCATCAATCAATTAAGTAACATTGAAAATTGGTAGCACTAGCTATTACATACCCATATCCAGTGAATTTTCCGAAAAGTTTGACAGGTCATTGACCATACCTATGCATCCTGGAATAGATCTATTACCCTAATAGTCGAAAAAATACATGTCGCTCTAATTTTTCGGATTATTAAATGAGTCAATTAAAGTTAATTAAATTAACTTTCATACCTTTTGGCGCTTAAATGAACCACTTGATATAAACATCTTACCGGTGATTGAAAATTTAACTTAACAGGGGCGGGATCCAGGATTTTTTTCAGGGAGGGACACTCGGAAATTTTGACAGGCAAGGAAAAAACAAACAAACAAAAACAAACTTCCCCAAACCTGAAAAAAACCTGTTTCGTTGGGGTGGGAGTTCGCTTTCTTAACTTAATTTTCTTCAAATACATGACCTTTCCTTACCGTTTTAAGTGGAGTTCGTATTTCTTGGCTGGGGGTGGGTGGGTGTGTCCAAGGTCACTTTCCCGTTATATTAACATAGAAATTTAATAACTCTGAAAATCCCCCCGGGGGATCTCGAGCCCCTTCTAGATCCAACCTGCTTAAGTCTTAGAAGTCTGTTTCATTATCCCATGCAGAGCATTAGCTGAAAGCTATTTAAAGTGAGCTTTACTGATCATATTTTGTATTCAAATAAACCATACCTTCTTTCAAGGGGAGATAATTCTCTGAAGGGCGTGTGTCTTGTCTGAAACCGTACTTGTGACGCTTTTCATTGTATCTAATTCACAAACACTCTTTATTAAGTTTTTAGTCATCATCTTCTAACACAGTTTTTATGTCGTTTAAGAACCCTCTATATACACTGCACACTAAAGAGTTCTGATTCTGTGGTATTTTTATGTAATTAAGAGTAATCTGCCCTTGGATCTAAAATGAAATAAATTGAACTACACAGTTAATCAATCAATTTCTAATCAATTTAAGCATTCTTAACCTTTTGATACGCCAAGATAAATTAATTGAACACCTTATCTGCATTCTTTCCCCCACTTAGATAAACAAGTTCATCAAAACTTTTTTGACGTTGAACATTTTTCCTTGGGGTAAAGTAGCCAGGCACCCAATGTTGAAAATGATATTATAATAAATGAGCTCAATATTTACACCTTTATACAATATACTTTTCTCAATGTCCAAAAAAAAATCATTTAGTGTAGAGAGGGTCATTAATGTCCTTTTCTTTCTCATATTTTCGTCAAATCGACCATTCATTTAACCAATTGTTTATTTACAGTGAGTAGTGTTTATAACCCATTAAGTATCCGTACCATATAAATCTACATGTACGACTAGTTTAAAGTGTTATTAGGATCAATGTTCAATAAATCCGTCATTACCTAAAAACTGTATCCCGGTCTTGTAGAGTATGCTTTCCCCTCTAAAATCCCCCCGGAAAACTGATTTTAGAGTAGGATTTTCCACCGGAAAATATGCTCTAGAGTAGGATTTCGCCCACGAAAAACTGACCCTAGAGTAGGATTTCCTCCACGGAACCAGATTCAATTTCCGAGGGAAATCCAACTCTGTAATAGTTATAGAGTGCGGTTTCCCCCCGAGCCACCACCCCCCCCCTAAAATATCATGGCTGTTCTTATGTATGAGGGGGAAGGGGGCGACACATTTTTATAAGTGTCCTTTCTTCAAAATGGCAACCAGTTTTGTTGAAATATATATGAAGTATTGTATGAAAAATAAAATATTTAAATCTTATTTTTCTCAGTAACCATCCAACAATTTTTTTTGAAACATGAAAATCTTATTCTTTTTTTATTCTAGTCAAACTGGTTTCTTAAAAAATGGTTCATTGAAATTGGTTGGACAAATTTTACCTGTATCCGTAGAAACAAAAAGAAGTTTTATTTTATATGCATTTTTGTCTCCGAGGGTATTTCAAACTACATGTACATAATATTAATGTTTAAGTGCCTCTCCAGAATTCTGGTGTTTAAATATTGCCATGAAACTAAAAATGGGTCATTTATTTCTAAAAATTTGAAATTTTAAAAACCATTTAGAGGATTTGCTCTCTGCTTTCAAATTCAATATTACATTGCTGGGGTCTCGGCTTACTAAAGCAGCGTTTCTTGTTTTGTTTTTGCCCTTTGAAGAACTACTCGATTCAGATACATGTACTCACAAACTGGCATGTGGAACCTATCGATAACATACCCTTCGTAAAAAGGATGGATCCGTATATCAATATCGGGCAATTGAGAGGCAAACAAATTATCAAATCACTAAAGGTGCCCTTATTCAGTTTAAGAATTTGTGAGCAAACATGTACTGCTGCGCCTAGAGAGGGTGTTGAGACATTGGGGCGTGTGATTTTTTTGAGTGACTTCTTTTACAATTTCTCATGAGTTAAAATTTTGGGTTAAGACTCGATGATTTGAACTATATATATTTTAAGATTTCATACTAAATTCGATAATTCTTGAGTCGAAAACACTCATATTTCCAAAAAAAGTTCACTTTCATACAAACTTTTTGCCACAATACCTGGTATTTTATCGAAGAATGAAATTTATGGAGATAACGAACAGTATTCAAGCCCAAAAATCCATTAAACAATACAAAATAGGAGCAGAGCAAACACGGACCTCCAAAACATCAGAGGTGGGATCAGGTACCATGGAGGAGTGAGCATCCCCTGCCGACCGGTCACACCCGCTGTGTGCTCCTTGTCATGATCGGGAAATAACGGAAAAATCCAGTGTGTAAATAATGCATGGCCTAACAAATAGTATGAAAAACGTCAGTCAGCATTTGACTCAATGATGAATTGTATTTGCTGACAAGGTCATTGTATCGACCATAGAACTTACGAAATGATGACTTTAAACGAGACTGCTGATATTCTAGCCTCATCAACTCGTTTGTCAATAATTTACCTCGCATTAGAAGCTGCAAATACGCAGAGCATGCTTTTGCGTATCGAATGAACTGAATATACACCCCGTATGCAGGTGATGAAGGTATATTGCTGTATAAGTAAGGGAAGTTGACGATTGAAAAGTTAAAGTCATCACGTTTATCATAAAGCTTGGTTGTTAGATTACTATTAACGTCTTTTTCAAGTAAAATATCCAAATATGAAACAGATGTGTCAGACTTTGTGGTATCTTTTATCTCAAGCTCACCGGGATATATCGTATCGACATAAGAATGGAAATAACCATTGTTAATTGACAATACGTCGTCGATATATCTAAATGTCGAGTTGAAGGCCACAGCAAGTGTTTTCTTCTTTTCACATATAAGATTTTGGACAAATTCTGCTTCATGTGAATACAAAAAAGGTCTGCTAATAACGGGGCGCAATTGGTACCCATGGGAATTCCAATAGATTGTTGGAAGACCTGGTCTCCAAAAACCACATTGATATTGTCAATCAGAAACTCAAGCAAATGATTTAATTAAGCATTGATAAAAGAGAGGAAATCCTACTCTGAGAAAGAAAGAGGGGAAAATTTGGCTCTCGTGTGAGATTTCCCCTCGGGGGGGGGGGGGGGTCCTACTTTAGAGTACAGATTCGGGGGGAAAGATGGCTATGGGGGATATCCTACTCTACAACACCGGTATTACGAATAATTATATTTATTTTCAAATATGTTTAAGGCATTGATGTAACAGGAGAGATGAAAAATGCGACGGACCAGACCGGCATTCGAACCCGGGCCCCCCTGAATCTATACCAACTGAGCTTCATGCATGTGGCAGCCGGCAAGAAAGCAAGGAAGTGAAATTCACGAAATTGTGAAAAGTAGATGAAAACAAGAAGATACAAGCAAGTAGCAGAAGTTATGAAAAAGGTCATGTTTGTTGACATACTTCATAGAAGTATGATAGAGTTTAGAAAGTATGTCCTTCGTGTGAAGAATCAATACAGCCAGATAAAAAAAAAGAAAAAAAAAAAAAAAAGAAAGAAAAGAAAAGAAAAAAGGAAAAAAGAGAACAGTTGCAGGAAGGTGAGCTACTCATTTGGATGGATTTTGCAGAGAAATTTATCTGTTCTGCAGTAGAAGTCCAATCAGTCTATTGGAATACTGATATGGTTACTCGCCATACTCATTTTGTTTATTTTCCGCATGAGAGCCATATCAGATCTTAGAGAGTATCGTGGTGTAAATTATCTAGTCTCCTCTGTTATAATGCAACAGTGAAAGCTGCAATTGATACCTATTATGAAAGAAGAGTGCAAAGTTATGTTGTGTTCATTATGGGTGGATTAAAAAATGACCAAACACATATTAATCAACCTACACTAAAAATACAGGCAATGGGAATAAATTTCTATGTCTCGGCATATTTAATTAGTGTCTAAATACCTGCCATATCTCATTGATATCTCAATTCACAAAAAAAGTTATGCCCAAAAATGATGCTAAAAATGTCAGGAGTGCAACACCTTTTCGTGACATTTTGAAAATTCAATATTTTTTTGAAAATACGTGAAATAAATAATGGTTTATGTTGGAAATAAAGACTTTCCTGATAATATTCAAAGTATTGAGCTTTAAATGTAGACAGTAGCAACGTTAACTTTAGTTTGACCAAGTTGTGGTCATGGCTGATGTTGAAAAAATGCTATACCATGTCAGGAGTGCAACAGAAAAAAACATCGGTTTTAAAAAAACTGAAAGACAGCTAAGTCAAAAAAGAAATTTCAAAGTGTAAAACAATAACTGATATACAATTTAAAAC